GGGGGCTGCAGCCCCCCCCCAATCATTTGCTAATAAGGCCACTATTTGTTGCATATTAGTTTCTCATCCGGGGCTTCACCTAAAGTTGATGTGGGCAGGCGGGCCATTACCATTATGCCATTATTTGCTGGATTTCCACTCTCCGTAAATATTAATACTTTGAAAAGTGCGCATTTAGCATTTATAGCATTGCAAAACAGCACAAAATTAGTGAGTGCAACTGAAACCATGTTTTCATATTAAAAGCATGGCCGCTCCACATGACCACATGTGAAATAATCACAGAATAGAGAAATAATTTTGTAGCCAAGACGTCTCGCGTCTCGCGAGAACTTTTACGAAAATGTGAGAGAAACTGGCAGTTTTGGTATGAAATTTCATATCTTAACTAAAACTTTTGGTTTGGGAACGTTTCTAATTGTCTTTCTTTCAAATATCATTTTGAAGACATCACAAAATTTATGATAATGGTAAAAAATGGCAATAATGGTGAACAAGACCACAGTTTTCTTAAAAAGCATGCGGGTGGGGATGAGAAACTAATATACAACAAATAGTGGCCAAATCATTCTTTTTTTCAAAATCATGCAGACCATTATTATAATTTAATCCATGACATTAGTTAACTGCAAAGAATGAAGATATTACCCATACTTTCCTGCAACGTACTTATCCAATATATAGTTAATAATTAAATATGCCTTCATCCATTTAGTACAACTACATCGTAAATTTCAACTTGATACTAAAACCAGTGGCGGCGGAACAGGGGGGGCTAGGGGGGCTAAAGCCCCCCCAGAAGTAAAAGTGGGGGGGCTTAGCCCCCCAGAAAATTTTGTTTTCTCTGGAAAAATTTTGATAATTAAGGAAAAATGTAGGTTATTTTTGGAAAATTTAGGTATAAGGGGAAAAATTTGGGATATTTTGTGTAAAAATTGAGTATGTTTGGAAAAATTTTTTGATATAGGTCCGGAAAAATTTTTTTCATCCCTTTTCTTGTATATGTCTGGAAAAATTTTTGTACCCCTAAAATGGTACACTGACCGAAATTTTTTTGGCGACGGGGGGGGGGTTGGGGGGAGGTCACGGAAAAAAAAATTAGCCCCCCCAAACTGAAATCCGTTCCGCCGCCCCTGACTAAAACGCCATTTTCTGACAATCAGAATTCTGTCAAACCAGTTCCCCAAAGTCCAGGAAATGGTATTTCAGAGACTCTAAATTTAAAAATTTCCTCGGGCCTTTGCCCCTCGCTTTCAGCCCCCCAATCGAAAAGAGCTTCCTACTGGTCTGTCATCCAGGTCAAAACTGTATTTGCCGATGCTTCTTTAGCAATATGGCTTATCCGTGGATTAAATCTTTATCACCCAATCACAAAGGGCCTGCATGTGTAGCTGGATTACTGACTGGAAGTCTGGAAAATAATATATTGTACATCCAAGAATTTTAGATTTTTATGGTAAAATATATAGAAACATCAAGCAATTGGACTGGTGCAGCTCTCGTGCATATAAATCCTAGTGAGATTTGTAACTATACATCCTTTTAGTGGGTCCTTCGCTATCCCCTGGGAATTTAGGAGCTCAAATTACTATTAATATCTCTTTTTGTATTTTCGGAAAAATTATATGTTCGGAAAATTTTTTGTATGCTGGAAAAAATTTTGCGATCTCCCCAACAATTTTGGGGAAAAATATTAATTAACGACTGAAATGTTGTCGGCACTACTGCACCTCCCTAGATACTACACCTCCCTAGCTTCTTTATCCTCTTAGCTATGCCCCTGCCTTTCAACAGCCCCAAAAACTCAATCCTGAATTATGTTTATCTCATCAAAATTTTCAGTGCAGTAAAAATAAAGTTGTTTGAGATAAATTTGTGATGTGGAAACACAGAAAAGTACTGTAGTATTAGAAAAAAACTAACACACCGTGTTTAACCCATTAGAGTGCAAGACTCTCTCCTTGACGAGTAAAATCGTCTGGCATTAGAGTTAAAGAATCTGGTGTTAGACAGAGTGAAAGAATAAAGTAGGGTGCATAAATTTGGGTGCATTGCTGCTTAATGGGTTAACAAGAGACATTGCCATAACCTGTTAGAGTGCAAGACTCTCTCACTGATGAGCAGAGGCCACAGAAGCATTTCGAAAGTGGAGGGGCATTGGCCAAAAGGGGCACTTAAATTGTATATGACCAAAATCAAACGATTTTATGTCGTTCACGAGCCGAACGAAAATGTTTGAAAATATGAAGTCTCTATAATGTCGGAAATGGCCTTTACAGAGTCTTTACTACTGCAAAAAGGGCCGCACTTTCTTTTCAGCAAAAGAGGGCGTTCATTCAAGAAATACTTTTTTCGTTCTATAAATGGGCACTTTAGTCTAGAAAAAAGGCACTTCTTCACTTTTAAAAAAAGTGGGGGCACATGTCCCCCCCCCCCGGTTTCGCAGCCCCTGTTGACGAGTAAAATCGTCTGGCATTAGACAGAGTAAAGAATAAAGTAGGGCACATTTCTGATTAATGGGTTAACTGCCACTCTGATACAAATGGATGGAAACAATGGCTCTTGTTCCGTTTACAAAATACCAAAATCAAGTTACAGTTAAAGTATCTGCTTCGTTTTGATGTTGTTGTTGGACAATTGTTCTTGATACCATCTGGAACAAGACAGTAATTTCTTCATTTACGTTACCAGTATATTTTTGTAAATTACTGTACTTTTATTGCATGGTAGCAGATGTGGATTCTGCTTTGAAACAGCGTGAACGTGAATAAATTTATTTATAAGTCCAAGACCAAGGGAGCGGGGTCGGGTGGGAGAGTGGGGCATAGACGGATTTTCATATTTTTTACTGGGGTGGTGCCAGAAATTTTAGGGGGGTGAGCCGCGAGCAGGTGACTGAAGCAACACAAAGTGTCACCAAACCCCAGTAGGGTCTATATTCTAGGGGTGGAGCACTAGAGCCGCGAGCGGGAGTCTAGAGAGCAGAAAACAAAGTATCCCTGGAAAAATTTGAAAAAAATCATGATTTCTAGCTTCGAAAAAACGTTTTTTGAAGTTGTCATATCAATGGATTTGTCCTGTCCGATTGTCTGTTGAGACTTGAGAGAGTTAAAGTTAAATGAACCTGTAAAAGTGTAAACCCAATAGGCCAATACACAATATGCTTTTACTTTTATAAAATCATTGACATTGTGTCGTTTGAATCTGAGTACAATTTATGATGCAACTCCGATGCAAATAATATTTGGGACGTAAAGATTAAATCTAGGCAAGAGTGCAAGACTAT